GGGGGGGGGGGGGGGGGGGGGGGGGGGTGGGGGCATGTCACAGATGATAGCCAGGAAAGAGCACTGCCTGCAGTTTAGATAAGTGTATATCCAAACCAGTATCTGAGCATTCAGATTCCATTTGCACTACACACAGATATTTCATACTCAGAGTGATAAACAGAGCACAGAGAAGAGTGCTGCTGGAAGCCATCAGGAAGCAAGGAACACAGGAGCAACATGGGATCCAAAGCCTGCAGTCCTCTTACTGGGTTAGATGTCTTCTTTGCAACAGCTGATCACTGCCCACTCTCTCATCCTTCTTGAAAAGATATGGCTGATGGCTTATGCAACAGCCAAATGGCTGCTGCTTGCTTTCCACTTTAAGCACTAAGCTGGGCCCAGGCAGCAGCTTGGATGAGGTCATTCTCCTGTTTTAATGCTGCACAGAGAAACATGTGAACTTCACACAGGGGGGACAAAGCACAAAAGGGGATGTAGCTATTTGCACAGAGAGCTGGGATGGTGAGAGAACATATGTAGGATTATTTTTCTTTCTTTTTCTGGGTTTGTTAGGAATAAACTATAGACACTTGTGAGTCCTTTGTCCTTTGCTTTATACTGGTTGCTACTGACTTGAGAAATGCAGGGTAGCACAATCTTTTCAACTCAGTTAAGGATGCAGAACGCTTTTACACCTTCTTGCCTTGTCTGGTTCCTTCTGTTAAGAAGGAAAATTGAGGATATAGCAGTATTTTCTGAAGCTATGATTGTTTACTATGAAACATCAGCAGTTATTTCTCTGGTTTTTGACCTTTTCCTCTTTAAAGCTTTTATGATACATGTTATCATCTAAGCCTCTGCTGAACTTCATACTTCAGAGTGTAAGGTTGAGTGGCATAAAGGATGTAAACTTGAGTGAGCAAATTCTGTTATGTATATTTAAAGCTAGTCAAGCAAGTGCATGTATGTGCTTAGGTACCTGTATTCAAATCAGAAGGCCATGTATCCTTTGGAGTCAGCAGAGAGAGATGGGTGATTCACCTCTTTCTACACAGACATCTGTATAATGATATGAAATATGTCCCGAATGCTGACAGAATTCACAGAAGCTCTATGACATCCACAACATCCTGTGGCAAGTGTTTTCATAACTACTTGTGAAACAATTTCCAAATGTGAGCTCCTCAGTTTGAGAGAGACATGGACATAATGAAGAGAGTAGAGTGAAGGGTTGCAAAGATGAAGAGGCTGGAGCATCCCTTCTGTGAGGAAAGGCTGAGAGAGGCAGGACCGTTCAGCCTGAAGCAGAGAAGGCTCAGGGGGATCTTATCAATGTATATAAATACTTGAAGAGGACAGAGCCAAGATCTTTTCAGTGGTGCCAGGTGATAGAGGCAGTGGGCAGAAACTGAAACAGAAAATTCCCCCCTGAGCATCAGGAGACAATTTTTATCTACTGTAGCTCTCTACTTAGGTGGCCCTGCTTGAGCAGAGAGGCTGGAGAAGATGATCTCCAGAGGTGTTTTGTCTAGTTATCTAGTCTTGTTATGAGACACAGCAGTCACTCATAACTGCTTCACTTTCCCTGTACCACTAAAAACTTGGTAGACTTGTATGATACCTTTTTTCAGTTGCTTTTTAAGAGATCAGGTGGTGCAGAGCTGAACATAGTACTGAAGAGATGCCAGATGTGTATTGTAGCAGGTAGTTTATCTAAATATAGAGTGTATATACCTAGCTCCTGGTTTTCTTCTCAGTTCCTTTGCTAACAATTCTGAACACATGGCTGATGTTTTCATAGAGCAGACTGTGAAAATTTGAAGATCTGTTTTTCTTCTGGATGGTAATTATTGGTTTAGTATCTATCACTGTGCAGATAACTTTTTTCAGTACAGGCATTGCTTTAGCACTGAATTTTACAGGGTAGACTGTTAGCTTGCCACTAACTCTCAAGAGATCCCTCTGTACCTTTTTGTAGTTGACCTTTGTTTTTATTAAATTGACCTGAAAAACAATTCATTTTCAACAGCAGCACATGTCATGGTTTTGCATTTCCCTCTTCTCCTCTATATATTAAAGACCCTGAACCCCAGTAAAGATTTTATTTGTAGGATCATTCTGGTGACCTCTTTTTTCTGCAGAACTAACCTCTCCTGCTTTTGTTTCCTATTTGAAACTGATTATTGTCTGTACGAGGATTTTACATTTATCTAATGGCAGATTAGTTTCTTTTAGAGCCTTGGTGGAAAGACCTGTACAAAGCCAGTCAGAAATGCAGAAGTTACCTTTGCTGACTTACTGGTTACACAGCTCTAAAAGACACTACCCATGGGATCTAATTTTCTTGCTCCAATATTTTAAAACCAGAATTATTTGTTGAATTTATGTTCTTTTGCAGTCCCTGCAGAATGCTACAGCTTCCTTTCCTTCATCGTGTTCTCAGCTTGTGGAGTCATAAACCTGAGTGGAACTTTGGGTGAGATTTTCTTGTTCATTGCTAAAATATTTCTTATTTATTCTGGAAAATTCTGTTAACCTTTTTCCTGTTGGTTGCATATTTTATTCTAAAAATGTTAAAGAAGACTACGAGAGGAAAAGTTTATATAGATCAAAGAAAGAAGAGCTTTGGCTAGTATATATGCTTTAGCCTCTAATTAACATTGAGGTTTTCTCTAAAGGAGTTAGTATAAAAATATAAATTTAAAGAGAAAGAATGGAGGGAAAGAAAAAAGTTAATGGAATTGGTAATTTTTACAAAATGTCAATGTACATAGCTTTACATGCTTTTGCTGAGTTTTACAATCTTTGAAATATAATAGGACAAAATAGAAAATTATAACTTTCATTCAAGCACTAAGACCTCTAGAAAGTGAATTTTTTATGACTCTCTGTTGGGTTTGTGTGACAAGGTTTTTGTAGCAGGGGGGCTACAGAGGTGTCTTCTGTGAGAAGCTTCTAGAAGCTTCCTCTATGGCCACTAGAGTCAGTATCCGTGGAAGGGACCCACACATGTGTGTTCAAGAAAAACTGCAGCCTGTGGGAAGGACTTGTATTGGAGAAGTTCATGGAGGACTGTCTCCCATGGGAGGAATCCACAGTGGAGGAGGAGAAGAGTTTGAGTCTTCCCCCTGATGAGGAAGGAGCAGCAGAGATGATATGTGGTGAACTGACTGCTACCCCTGTTCCTCTGTGTTGGTGGTGGGGAGGAGATGATTAGGCAGAATGTTAAACTCAGGAAGAAGGGAGTGGGTGGGGTGAAGGTGATTTTAAGATTTAGCTCTATTTTCTCATTACCCTACTGTGATTTAATTGGTAATAATTTAATCTCATTTCCCCAAGCTGAGGTTTTGACTGTCATAGTAACAGGTGAGTGATCTCTCCCTGTTCTTACTTCAACATACAAGCCTTTTGTAATACTGCTTCTCCCCTAGCCAGCTGAGGAGGGGAGTGAAAGAGCAGCTCTTGTGGGCACATGATATCCAGCCAGGATCAGCCCACCACAAAGGTCAATTAAATTAGGATATTATAATTATTTTATAATTGTTATATTATATTATAATTATATTATAATATCTTTTTGTGATACCATTGAAAATTAAAGGACACAGAGAGGTTAATTATTTATCTGAAATAAAAATGCTGATGGTAGTCTGGCACTGGAAATCATCTAGTGATAGAGCTCGCAGAATGAAAGGAGTAGGTCATAGTGCTGATACTATTTGATGAATTCTTGAAAGCAGCCTGAGCAGGCTTGCTTTCAGATTGCTAGAAGTCCAAAGCTGGGGCATGGATCAGACTTCGTTGTCTTACAGTTAATTTCTTTGTTGATGAAGTATTATCCAGCAAAGGGTAAAATTTTTATCCTACACAAAGCATGTGGTCCTTGTGTAAATTCATGAAAAACATTCCTTCCTCCTTTTATTTTTGCCTGACTTTGATACTAAACAGAACCTGCATAAATACTGTGGGCAGGGTTTGTGCTACCATGAACTGCTTGTGTTAGTAGCACAAACTTGTCATTGTGTACGGAGATGGAAGAGATTGCCCTCTGAAGATGCCTTTATCCCTTTTCTAATGATAAACACAAAAACAGCCAGAAGGGACTATTGCAGTCATCCAGAATGAATGAGGTGAAGCACACTTTATGCTTCTGGCTGTAGTGATTGTTTTTTGAAAAGGGCATGCTGGTTTCCAGCATGATCTGATGCCAGTGTGCTCTGAGAATGCTTAATTTAATAGTCCAAGATAAAGGGGAGGAGCTAGCACTGAAAAGGTGAGAGAGCACTCTACTCCTTTGCATTTTATTTGTTAAGAATAGGTGCATACAAATATATGTAACAATGCAATACTAGTAGTAATAGTGCAACAAGACAATGCTTGTAAACTATAAAAGGAGATGTTTCATTGTGTCAGTTCCTATAGGGGGACTGCAGGAGGGCTGCAGAGGGACTTTCTACAAGGTCAGGGCAGTGGTCTTAAGCTGAAGGATGAGAGATTCACTAGATATTAGTAAGAAATTCTTTACTGTGAGACTGGTGAGGCACTGGTACAGGTTGCCCACAGATTTTGTGGATGTCCTATCCCTGGAAGTGTTCAAGGCCAGGTTGGATGGGGCTATGAGCAACCTGGTCTAGTGGAAAGTGTCACAGCTAGAGCAGGGGGGTCAGAACTAGAAGATCTTTACAGGCCCTTCCAGCCCAAACCATTCTATGACTATGATGACAAGGGAGGCAGTTCAGCACGATGTCTAAGGGTTAGATTTACAAGGAAAAAGAGAGCACACATGGTTAAATTATATGGGGATACAAAGATGAATTAATGAAAATCCTGCCCAGACCATTAGAAGCAGGAAAGCTTACTGCCAGGGGAAGGGTTATAGTGACCAAAGAAGTGATGGTTTCCTGCACCTTAATGTGAGTCAGTCCCTAAATGAAACAAATTGAGAAATGATTTTATCCTGTGGACAAGTTATTTCATAATAACAGGTTAGAATGTTTTGCATGTTTTTCCTGACATGTCTGACTTGGATGACTGACATGGAACCAAGAATTCTGTATTATATGCAATAACTTGGATAAATAGGCTTTCAGTGCTTACCAAATAGGGAATTTGACAAATAGGCAAATATATATACTGATACTATTTAAGCTATTTAGAAATGTTATTAAAATTTCCACCTGTAGGCAGTTTCAAAACAAAATAACAAAATTAGTTTAAAAACAACAAGATGTAACTAAAAATACTTCTTTGATTTAGTCACTCTTAATCAGTAAAGTTTGTTTTCAAGCACAAGAGTTCTCCAGCCTTGGTTATGGAAGAAAAAAAGTGTGGTGAGTTGAGAGTATTTTACAGTATCAGGAGTAGGACCCATGAGAGAAAGGCCAAATATTACAAGACTTGCGTCTGGTGCTTAAGTAAATTGTGTCAACCTGAAGTGTGGACATTTATTAAGGATACTATTCTCATTAAGGAAAGCTGAGCAATCATTAGGTTTCCACTGGTTTCAGAGAGTTTTACTTTGTGTATTTACATTTCTTTCTTCTTTTTCAGATGGAAATACTGACATGAACTTGAGAACTTTGATTCTTTCGAACCTTGAATTTTGATTGTTAAATGACCAGTTCAAAATACTACCTGAACAAGATGAAATGCCTTGAAGACTTTTGGTTCTGCTTTCATTTTTCCTGAAGCAATGGTTTTCTCCGCAATGTTGACGCTGGCCCACTCTGGGACCTCAAATGCTACTTTCATTGTTTATGAAAATGCCTATACGAATTTTACCACTCCCCAGTTCTTGCTTCATAGTGGCACAACACAGCCATTGAGATATGGTTCAGGTGCTGTGCTCACCACTGAGAGAAGTACTTTCCTGGTAAACACCACAGCTATCCTGCCATCACAAGAAGTTTTCAGGAGCTTGAGTTTGCCACTCCAAATCATCCTTTCTGCTGCTATGATATTTATCCTATTGGTTTCTTTCCTTGGAAACTTTGTTGTCTGCCTGATGGTCTACCAGAAGGCAGCTATGCGATCTGCAATTAATATCCTCTTAGCAAGCCTGGCTTTTGCAGACCTGCTGCTGGCAGTGCTGAATATGCCATTTGCTCTGATAACAATCATTACCACTCAGTGGATTTTTGGGGATATATTTTGCAGAGTTTCTGCCATGTTCTTCTGGCTTTTTGTCATAGAGGGGGTAGCCATTCTTCTTATTATTAGTATTGACCGATTTCTTATCATAGTTCAGAGGCAAGATAAACTGAACCCCTACCGTGCAAAGATTCTTATTGTGATTTCCTGGGCAGCATCATTTGTTGTCGCTTTTCCGTTATCAGTAGGGAATCCTAATCTGCAGATACCCTCGAGAGCACCTCAGTGTGTTTTTGGCTACTCTACAAGCCCAGGTTACCAAGCCTACGTGATAGTTATCTTACTAATTTCTTTTTTTATTCCATTCCTGGTAATGCTGTATTCTTTTATGGGCATACTCAACACTGTCCGCCACAACGCAGTTCGTATCCATAGCCACCCTGATAGCATATGTCTCAGCCAGGCCAGCAAACTTGGTCTCATGAGCTTACAGAGACCTTTTCAGATGAATATTGATATGAGCTTTAAAACTCGTGCCTTCACAACCATCTTGATTTTGTTCCTTGTCTTCATAGTCTGTTGGGCACCATTCACCACTTACAGCCTTATTGCCACGTTCAACAGCCACTTCTACTACAAGCACAACTTTTTTGAGATAAGCACTTGGCTCCTTTGGCTCTGCTACCTCAAGTCTGCACTGAACCCACTGATTTACTACTGGAGGATTAAGAAGTTTCATGATGCATGCTTAGACTTGATGCCCAGATTCTTCAAGTTCTTGCCACAGCTCCCTGGCCATACAAGGCGGCGCATCCGGCCCAGTGCCATCTACGTGTGTGGGGAGCATCGGTCAGTAGTTTGAAGCTGCAGCTGTTTGACAGTGATTGTTGTTTGCTGGGGTCATTAGTTTTTAGGCTTTAGGTTGAATTTTGTTTTGTTTCATATGGCTTTTTCAGTGTGGCCATATCTTATAACTTGATTAAATTTTCATTACTCTGTGCAATTTTGGGAAGATGGAGGGAACGTGTGGCTATAGTTGGGTTTACTACCAGAATACAATGGAAACAGAATAACAAATGTTACCTCTAGGATTCCATGAAAATCCATTCTTTTAATGAAAACTATATTTGGAACATCTTGTCAGGTTTATGCTTATTAGGCCTGCAATTTTATCTAATTGTAGGGACTTTTTTAATGCTGCTAAGAGATGGTGTATTTAGTTGGTGTAATTTTTTTGAAAACTGTTGCTGCTGTCTGCCAATATATTAGAGCCAAAAAGTCTCATTAGATTATTTCTATCTAATTTAATGATATTTCAGAAGTTTTCATGGTGACATTAAAAACCTTTTTTTAATATTTCCATTAATATTTTTGTGCACTTTACAAAATTTGCTATATAGTTTGTTCATTTGAATATTTTGTTCTGTATTGAAGGTGTATTATTATTGCTTTTATTATTATTTGTTATATTGGTGAATTTCAGTGAAAGACCTATGTAAGCTCTAGGAGGACAATTTATTTTGGTATAGCTACATATACAGTCACAGGTTTTCTGGTTTTCTAACAATTGATCAAAATTACATGCTCAGTTAGCAGGAGAGTTAGAAGGAGAAAACAGAGGAATGAAAGAGAAAGCAACAAAAATACCATGACCTGAGATTTAGGCTAACATATGGTTTAGAAGAAGAGTGTTCATGTTAACATTGTTCCAGGGTAAAGGGTGACTGTAGTTGTTACTTGAGGCTGTTACAAGTTATCCAAACCTGATGATATGCATGAAAAACTATCTGAAATAGTGATGATTTTTTGGGCCTGCAATTTATACTGTGTTGGTGTAATGTTGTTTCTGCTTGGAGCTCATATAAGGCTAGGTGTGCTCTACACTACTGAAATCATGATGTCAGGCATTTGTCGGGATAGGATAGTAAGGTAAACCAGCACACAGATAGCAAATGAACCGTAGTTAAGGTTAGGGTTTAGTTTACATAGTAATTACAAGGAGAAAAAGAATCCTGGACTTGTTTTACAATTGAAGTATTAGATCAAAACCATGAACAGTCACAGAATCATACAATGGCTTGGTTTGCAAGGACCCATAAATACTATCCTGTTCCAACCCCACTGCTATGGGCGGGAAGGACACCTTCCACTAGACCAGGCTAGTCAAAGCCCCATTCAACTTGGCCTTGAACTCTTCCAGGGATGGAGGATCCACAGCTTCTTTGGGAAACCCATTCCAGTGCTTCACCACCCTCACAGGGAAGAATTTCTTCTTATATCTTTTCTAAATCTACTCTCTTTCAGCTATTACCCCGTATAAGAGGCAGCCAGGAGAGTTTGCTGGGGGTGTAAGTTAAAATCCCCTTTCCCTCTGATACTACTTCACATTGATTTTTTCATTACTTCTTTGTCTCTGTAGTGACTGCTGTCTCAAGGGTTTACTTGCTGTTCTCATCTATTAGGCATCAGCTTCTCTCCCTAAAATGCCAGACTACCTTTCTGATTAATGTCAGACTGTGTTGATATTCTCCTGGAAAGCAGAAAGACAAAGATTTTCCTTGATGATAGCAAACCAAACTCAGATACTTTTATGGTTTTTTTTTTTCAATCAGCTAAATAAACATTTATTGTGAGACAAGTAGAATTAAGAGTTAGTCTTGGGCTTTGCAGACAGATCCCCAGTTGCTCTGAGGCTGGGAAGAATGCTGCAGAATCAGCTTTTTGAGGCTGTGACCGAGAACAGAGGGATTTATGTACAACAAACAACGACTAGAGCTAGGGTTTGGGGTTCTCTTGCTTCCATCTGTCTTTCAATGCCCCAAAGCATGCAGACCTCTCCATTGCTCTTCTACCAGAGGAGCAAAAATAGCAATTTTGCCTGCTTCTGTGTATCTACACTGTACACCTGTGTATGAAGGAAATGCCTTGTCCTATGTGGGTGTCCAGGGACTGCTTGCTTCCTGAGGGCAACAAAGTGTTCACATCCCAGATATTTTTTAAATATCTTCAATAAAGAACTAATTTAAGTTAGCTCTGTTCATTGACAGCTATTGGTAAAATTGTCATTATTTAAATTTTAGGAGTTTAAAAGGAACGATTTTGAATCCAGGAATTTAATTAAAAAAACCCAAAAAAGTTGTCAGCTGAGACTTACTTATGTAATTTATGGGTTACATGTAAAGGCACCTGGCAGTGGTGATGTTACTGATGTCCATGACTTCCCTTCCTTGTCAGTTTTACTGATGATGGTATAGATTTTTCTGATCTAAAGGAGTTCCACTGTAAAGCAGAGTGTTTTAGTGTGTCTTTGTAGTAAGGCTTTTATTTTTCAATTACATTTACATTGATAGCACAAGTTTATGACCTGGTTAGTATGGGTTTTCTGTTTCAATGCTGTCATACCTGTTTATCTCTCAAAGCAGCAAAATTGTGCTTAGAGTTAATGTAACAGAGTGAGAGTGTACATTGTCTAAATGGCAGGAACAGGTATTTTTGCTGTCTTCCAGCTCTACAATGCAAGAGATTTGAATGTTGTTAAACATGGTAATTCAAGAAGGAAAAACTACGAGCAATACAGGAAAATTAGTGAAATTACATTGCTGAAGGAGGAGGGAAAAACATTTTGTGGGATTTTCATGATCTCTAATATGTACTGGCTGTGAAGTGTAAATTGCAAACTCCAAGGACAGTTAATTTGTCTTGATAATTAAGCATTTGTTTACCCTGACTGTAACAAGGTTTCTGGTCGAAGCTGCATCTACTGATCCTTGGAGAAAAGAAACCCAAATTGTGTTGCCCAAATTCAGAGGTTATTTCCACAGTGATACAGTATTCACACCTACCAGGTTTATTGAGGTGATCAAAGCATATAGTGAACAAAAGGGTGTTAAAAAAAAAGGAACAAGGTAGTGTAGAAATATCCCCAGGGCAATTGTGTGTTTACAGAATCATTTGAGCTATTGTGTCTATGTACTGTCTTGAGAGCAGTGCCTTGATAATTACAGCTGAAGTCCTAGGACCAAGTCGAAGACCTCTGAACTGCTCAGTCTTGCTGTCTGTGATCCTGCCAAGAATCCTGCACAACCTTGCTGAGATTTGTAATGTTAAAACACATACATATTGGCAGAAGTGGGTCTCCTGAGGCAATTGAATGGTCTTGACCAAGACCAAGGATTTTAAAAACTCAGACTGATCCTTCTTGACTTTACTGGAGAATTATAATTTTCTTCCTCTACAGAGATGATAGTCATTACTAATCTGTATTCCCTCATGTTCTATTTTCAGACATCTTTAGTATGGAGGATTAAATGAATGTATTTTGAAGTATGTTGCAGTTCAATTCATTCAGTCAAAGCATGCTGCTTACACAGTTCTCAGTTGTACAAATCTGTTGCTGAAATGATTCTTTTGTACTCAAAATTGTGTATTTTTGACATTCCTTGTTACTTATGTAAAAATATTTCTGTATATAGAGAAGAAAATTGTTTTGCCTCTTACTGCTTTCTGTCACTATTTTTTTCACTTGTATGCTTAATGCTTTCATATTTTATTTTGGACATACACATAAATAGCTTTAAGATTTCAGTGATCTTTCTGAAACCATTTGAGATTCTTAATTCTTAAATCATTCAATAACACCCTTCTTGAAAAAGATTTAAATTTATTTTAGTGTAAAAACTAAAAATTCAGAGCACAAGTTTGTTGTGGTTGGAATGGTGAGGAATATGTTAAGTCCAGTTTTCCAGGAGCCAATACTTTTTTTTTTTTCTTACTTTTTTTTTCTTTTTTTTTTTTTTAGGACTAGTAATTTTCTGATGTGGAGAAACCTTGAAATTTTGTTTTAAAACAAGCTATTTATTAAGTAGAACGGCATTGTCTTTTCTGTACATAATACACCCATGAGAATATACCTGAGAAACAACAAAAAAAAAGAGAAAAATAAACATTCTCCAGAAATGTAGCAAAAGTCTTTAGAATTGACTCTCTTGTTTGTACGTGCACTTATTTCTTGTATTTAATGCCCACCTCCATAGTTTCAAACACTTCTTTTGCTTATGAAATAACCAGGATTGCCTGATTTAGGTGGTTTTGTTTAAGCCAAAATGTTTCTTGTCTAAAGCATTTGCAGAATGCTCTTCTGAGACAATGGAGTAGAGACATGTCAATATATCTAGAACAATTGGAGTAGTATCCAGCAAGCAGAGAGAGAGCCTAATAAGAAAGTAACTTTCCTAAAATACTTCCCGAACTGGGTACTAATACTACCTTTTAGCTTGCACTAAGTAATTAAGACTATCTTGCTGTGTAATAAAGCAGGCAGTAGTAGTGTGGGGCATGATTCATATCAACACAAGACTGTGACCTTTATGATTCAAGTACTGCATGTTTGTATGTGATGGATTATCTCCCATATTAGTAGAGTGAAAAAAGTTCAGCAACTTCGCTGGTTTGTGGAAAACTTTCAGCTTGACAGTGATTTAGCAGAAATGCTGCTGGATTCATTTCTCTAAGTGATAAAGATGTCCCCAAAGAGTGCCTGAGAGGGGATAGATATTCCTGGTTGCTTGAAAATGGCTGTGCTCAGCTGCTGAAGTGCCTCATTCTGAGACTCCATACCTCCGCAACAGCCGCTTTTTCTCCCTCATTCTCTCTTGGTGCCCTCCCATCCCTCTAAGGCAGCTCCTTCTGTACCACTGTGTTGCAGCAGGTACAGTGGTGGCAGGAGGAGGTGGAGGTCCCTGGGCAAGCTGTGGAGGCAGCAAGCCTCTCACCCTGTGCCACTCTTTCCTGTCTTCAGTTCAGGTTGGACCATCAGTGACAGCCTGAGGACGATTTTTACCACCTCTGGTTTTAGCATTAGTGCCATCATAGGGGAGGTGCTACAGTAGCACAATATGTTTGCCTCTAGTGCTAATGCAGGATCCTTGTTTTATCCCCAGTAGTGTTAGAAATTTTATACTACTTCATCTTTCAGCAACTGAGCTTCATCCATCTTCAGCCAATTCATGACTGAATAAGAATCCCTGAGCTGGCCTGTGTCTCTCTATGAGTGTTCTGGGCACAGGATCTGCCAGCGAGCTTCCAACATAACAGAACTTCCTGCAGCTTGTTCTCTAAGCAAAATGGCATACATGGAGACAACCACAACTCTGTTCAGATATAAGTGGTAAAATAGCCATAAATCAGTGGCTGCACTGTGTGGTGGAGGAAAATGTGAGTTGTAATGGGACTTTTTAAGTGCTCCTTACAGAGATAGTGTTCATTTTTAAAACTGATGTATGGATATTTATGCACAGACTCTTGGGTTGTGTTGTTTTGCCTT